CCCCAAAGAAACCTCACGAATTTCACAAGGGGCTCTACGATGTTCAAGAAAATGACGAAGGGAACGTTGCATCGAGTTTAAGATGAAAAATCGAGGGCAATAAATAATTGTCCGCGTCCTTAATACAGTGTAACATCAAAAGACTCTCAATTGAATTTTTTAATGCAATTACTATTCAATTACGAGGCACAGGATAAGGTTCAGGGGCGCCTCCACACAATTTATTGTAACAGGGGCTCCGGCAAACAATTTAATTGCAAAAAGAGCTCTTTAAGTAAAAAAAATAATAATAGTAAAACAGACAATTCGCTCTTTTTTCTATTCTAACGGCATAAATCAACGAAGACTCCATCTGCGCTGAGATTTTTTATTGATTTATTCGCACAGGCATACAGTTCTCACCTTTCTCTAACTCAATTTTGGCCACGATGTAAACGGAGATAAGATGATTTGAAAAATCCAGTTTTTCTTTCAAATGAGTAAGAAAAAACTGCGGTTTTTATTTCCGACATGACGACACGCGAAACGGCATTCCACAAAAAAAAACCTTAATAATGAGTTCATATTGTGTTCGGAATCTTCCTGAAGTGTGACGAGCATAAATTCAACGATTCATTCGCAGTATGTACAGCACTGACCACAAGCGAAGATAAGAGCACTTTTTCCATTCTCGACAAAAATTAAAACTCATAATTCCCGCGTTCACAACGTTTAGTCAATAAGTAAGCCGAAAATATCCGTAACCACGCGAATGCAGGAAAACATCGAGTCCAAGATCACAAAAAGGTTCAGCATCAAAAACGGAACAGAAAACATTTTCGAAGATGCTATATTTTTCGCTCCCAGATTTACCGAAACCTTTATTGCACATATGGTGGACTGAAATGAGCACTGATTTTAAAAATAAATCGTATATTCAAAGCTGAAACATAAAAGAATTACATCGACAAATACCGAATAATTTGGGGGTTTACAAACTCAATTAATTTGAAAACCGAGAGAAAATAAGTTTGCCAGTTACATCATTTTTCTTCGGTTGGTTCTCAGAATTTTCCGTCGTAGGCCTTGAATTAAAATCAACCTATCAATATTATCCCTGCTGGTAAAAAATATGCTCAATGAGTG